GTCTCGCTGTACTGAGTCCATAGGGACTGAAATCATCTCAATCGGAGGTCGGATGGCGGAGATATCACGACGGGAAGAAATGGGAATTTCAGAACTTCCCCCGGCGATTGCGGCTGATTCCGGCGGGGTTGGAGGTCGTGCCGCATGTCGTTGAACTCAGCTCGTCGAGATCTTTCTATTGACACCGGCGGGGTCAAAAATGGAGGTCGGAATCTTAACTTGAGTATTTGGCCATTGATGGTTTGTGTGAGAGAGAACGTGAGAGGAGAGAGAGAATGAGCGAGAATAAGAGAAAGAAAGTGCAAGAACCCTAAAATTTCACTATATAAAGTATCTGATTAAGGTAAGATTACGTGCCTGATCTTATCCTCAATTATTTCTTCTAAACAGATTAAATTTATACTGATTAGAGGTAATTAGTTTAGCTCACGTAAGTTAATCTACTACTTACAGTCCAATATCAATTTCTGAATAATTCAATATTGTTTTATATTCTTACTCACGTAATATTTCAAACTGTTTCAAGTCTTAAAATTAATTTTAGACTGAACAAATTCTAAATTTTAATTTTCTGTATTCTATCCCGAGAATGACGTTTCTGACAGTGTCAACTCCCGAGCTCATATTGTATCCATCTACTATAGGTATTTATCTTGTGACTTTAACCTAACTGTTTGGCAATTAAGGATTTTTTTCTTCTTTTAAAATGTCAGTGCGTTTTTTTTTTATATGCCGCTAACATCGTGCTGTGCTTAGAGATTCTTGAAATTAAGATTCTCAAACTATACTTGTACTGAAAATTATTCTGTCTTAAAATACGGCGAGAATTTATCGATCGAATTTACTTGATCGAAACATGAACTTAACATGAAATTTGCTATAGAATTTAGGAATACATATATTAATTCCATAAATCCTCCATTCACAATATAACATTTTCTAAGATAAGAAAATCCTTGGCTTAAAAATACATGAATTGTATTATTTAAGATCTGAAATTTTCTCAGTCATTACATATACCTCCATAGCTTTGGGGGAAAGACAAAAATAAACACTCTGCCTTGTAACATGCTTACTTTTGTTTGTTTCATTGGTGAAGCAATTCACTGCCTTTATCAACTGTGACATGTCCAAAATGTTAATTGCCATAATGTGGTTTGTACGAAAGCCAACAACATTATTATACTAATGAAAACTTGATTAGTTTTTTAGTAAAACACCTATAAAAAAAGAAAACTTTGCAATATGCTTTGTATAAAACAAACACACGACACTATTTTCGAAAAAAAAAATATATATATGCTTTGTAACTGAGTTGTTTTCTGCATTTATCAAATGTGACATGTCTTAGCATGTTAATTGTGTTGTGTATTATTATGATGTTGCATTGGAAGTATGTGGTTTAGCGAAAGCCTAAATCCTTGACTTTCTTTCTTACATAAGAATAGAGAGATTAGGAAGGAGCGAGAATATAAGGGTGCGTTTGGAACTCGTTTTAAAATGATTTTATTTTTTGCATGAAAATGAAAACGTTTTCATTTTCATTTTAGAATCATTTCTAAAAATGCATTTGGTAGTTTTATTTCGAGATTGTTTTCAGTTTAAAAAAAAAAAATTCTGAAATTGTGTTTGGTGGTTTAATTTTTAAAAACATGTAATAATATTTAAAATAATAATATATTAAATATGTTAAATAATAATATATTAAATAAACATTATATACATGAAAACTACAGAGGAAATGAGAAGAAGAGTGGGGGGGTGGCCGTCGGGGAAAGAAAAATGGAAACTGAAAACGATCCTTAATCGTTTTCAGTTTTTGTAACGTTTTCAATTTTTGTTTTTAGGAAATGCGGTGCCAAACGCATTTCTGAGAGCATTTTCATCTTTTTGTTCTTGAAAAATGTGAAAAACATTTT